CGGGAGTCTGAAGAGTCTAGACAGGAGAAACAAGATCATTAGAGGTAGAGTGTAAAATAGATTAGTTGGGAGTGGAGTGTAGAGAAGAAAGGAACGAGAGGCTGAAAAGTAGGGTTATAAGGATAAAAGATTTGGAAAAGTTGGAAGAAGGGAACAAGCACAAATATAATACATATGTACAAACGCAGTAAATGCGCAAAGAACATGTGGATACAAACGTCTGCATCTGTAAATAGCTATTGGTGATTGCAGAAGATGCTAACTGCAATGGCCCTTGAGGGAGTCCTTGGCAAACATGTAAGGGTGCCATGGGTGGACAATTGGGCTTCTGCGGGGTTTGGATTGGATGACTCTTGCGAGAGTCGAGGCTCTGTTAGACACCTTTTTGAGTTGGAGCCGTGTGAGGAGGTGCTTGGGGGTTGGTTAAAGCCTGTTGGGCTTTCTTGAGGTGGTATTTACTGAGACGTATATAAGATTTGAAAACTTCAGAAGACCAGCGACCAAGGGTCTGGATCTGATGGTGTGAGAGCCCGTTGTAGTGGCTGCGCCAATCCTGAGTGAGTGGCTGGAAAAGGGCTCTGGGAAAAAACCTGATAGGTGAAAGATTTCTTTAAGGTGTTTTTGAAACCAGAATCGAGATACTGGACGGTTAGCGTCATCAGTAAAAAGCGGGGCCAGTGGGTTAGCCTCTTGAGATTTTCTAGGCTAAGAGGGTTTGGAATGGGCGTGTAGGTGAAGGAATATTGAAAATGAGGATAGAGTGTCCTCTCTGGAATTAATCTGTTTTGCTTTGTTTGATAAGGAAAGAGATAGTTTCCCTGTCTTGCAAAGCTAGATCTGAGATGGTGGGGTGGAGTAGAGGGTTAAATTTGGATGTAACTGTTAATTCAGAACATTTAAGAAACCCCCCAAAAAATGCTAGATTGAACATAGCATCTAAGGTGCGGGCTGTATGGGAGGAAATGTAACCTTTACAGAGGGTGTAGATGCATGAGGTAAGGATTTTGAGTGTAATGGGTTGTCTAGCATGGTATGGAATTGTTTGAACGAATTCCATGCTGTGAGGTATGCATTGAGGGTTCTGGGAGCTATTGCTTGTAGGATAAGAGATAGAGAAGTTTGATGAAGATTATGAAGTGGGTGGTTTATGGAAATATCGTTACTGAATAAGGAGGGACCGGCGTTGGGTGAGGGTCTGCTTCCGGGGCTAGTTGCCAGAATATCTGCAAAGAGAAATGAGAGAGAGAGAGAGTCAGCGATTTGGTTTTTGCAACCAGGTACATGTTCAGCAATCATGATAAATTGTTTTTTAGCAGATATCCAGATAAGGTGTCTTAAAAATGGCATAAGCGATTGGGAGTGGGAGCGCCCTTTGTTAATGCAATGCACTGTAGCTTCGTTATCATAGTGAAAGAGAATGCTAGATGTAGACCATTCGTCCCCCCACAGGATGGCTGCTGCGATGATAGGGTAGAATTTGAAGAGGGCTGAAAAACATTGGTCTTTGGAATGGAATTACAATTGGGTTGGCCATGTTGAGACAAACCAGTGTCCTTTATATTAGCCACTGTAACCTATTGGAGGGGCAGCGTCTGTGTATGTGTTGATGTCAATAGGGGATGCAATCAAGTCGCTGTAGAAAAAGGAACAGCCGTTCCATTGCTTAAGGAAAGAGATCCATAAGCAAAGTTCATCGCGACTGGGTTTGGAGAGAAAAATTGTTTCTTCTAAACCATGAACTGTGGTGGATAATTGATGGAGGTGGGAAATGAAAGGAATAATGCGCATAGCGAAATTTAGATGGCCGAGAATTGGTAGGAGTTCTCGTTGTGTGCACATCTGTTTTTCAAGGAAAATTTGGGATAGAGAAATTATTCGATTGATTTTCTCTTTAGGAAGGGATGCTTGGAATTTATGCGAGTCTAGATTAATACCCAGAAATTCGATTGAAGTACTGGGTCCTTCCGAGATCAGCGAAAACCTGCTGGGTGATCGCTAGGTGTTTGGCTGGAGGAGATGACGGGGGGGAAATAAGAAAATCGTCTAGAAGGTGAATGAGGTATGGTATTTCGTAAATATTAGACAGAATCCAGCATAAAGCTTCTGACATTATGTCAAATATTTTTTGGGCTGCTTTTGCATCCGAAAAATAGAATTGATTTCGCCAATAAATGCCAAAAGGTGCCAGAAGTCTGGGTGGATTGGCATGATTTTAAAGGTAGGGGAAATGTCTTCTTTGGCTAGCCAGGAGTTACGACTGGCTATCTTTATGAGAGAGATCTCTTGATCAATGTCGTGGTAGTTAAGTAAATATTCGTCCAATGGGATAGTGCTGTTAATGCTAGGAAAGGAGCAATTGTGTTGGGACGAAAGGTCGACTACAAGGCGTTTTTGCCAGAACATTTTTTGAGTAGCGACACCAATGGGCTAATGCGCGAGATATTAAAAGGAGGAGCCTTGGAGTTCCAATCATGAAGTTGTTGTCGATTTCTTTTTAATAAGATAATCGACGGTTTTAGGTTCGGAGGTTGCAGACTGCAGGTTAGGACAGATTGGATAAAGTGAAAAATGGAATGTATCCTTTGTGAAGAGGATGTGGATTGTAATAGGTTGGATGAGGGTCAGCTTCTGGAGCCAGCAGTCATGATCTCTAAAATAGAAAAACAAAGAGAATCAGAAATTAAATCTTTGCAAAATAATACAAGTATGGCAGACATGAAAATTGTTTTAGTTTATATCCATGCGAGGCATCTTAATAAGGGCATGGGCGGCTGTAAATGGAAGCGCTTTTGATAATGCATGGTCCGATGACTTCATTGATACGATGTGCAAGGATGGTAGGGGTGGGTGTTCGTCTCCTAACGGGATGACAGATGAATGGAGAGCTGAGGACATGGGATATGGCTAGTCTGGTGGTCCTGGAAAACTGGTACCCCTTGAAGACTGAGCATGTGAAGTGATAGTGAAGTTTAAATTTGTATTTATAACAGTCAAGTGGGAAGTTTGTTTCTTTGCCGTTTTCACATCCGACTGACTTGCTATATAATCTTATATGACGCTTGTAAATCAACACATGAGTCGCTGGCGTATTACAATTGGACTTCTGTGCTTGATGGCATAATGTTTTTCAATAGCTTGTTAATATTTACTGGTTGGGTAATAATCTTTTCAGAAGTTAAATGTCAAATGGAATTTAAAATTTTTTTTTTTTTTTTTTTTTTTTTTTTTTTTTTTTTTTAATTTTAACTAAATTTACAAGCGTGTCTGGCCTATTCATTCATAAGGTCTTTGCAACAGAGTCAAGAGAGAGGGCGGGACCATCTCCAGTCTCTTAGCTCATTGGATGGAGACGCTTATCTTTACAGCTATTGGCTTAAGGAGTTTCAGTCAGGCCATGCAAAAGGTGCAAAAAGCCTGGCGGCCATTTTGTTGATCAAATTCAACATTGTTTGTGGCTGGAGCTGCTGCTCTGCTGAACACATTCCAGCAAACAATCTGTTAAACGATGGATAGCATGTGTACTGCTAGGAGAAGGTGAGGGTTCCGTTTTATTGCAATAGCTTTGGAGTTTGGCTTATATCTTGCTGGGAAATAAGGTTGAAGACACAGCAGATGCGTTGTGGAGGCTCTTTGAAGTGGAAGGTTTTGGTGTTGTTGTTTAAGCTGTTGATGAAATTGTTGGAGTTGTAGTTGTTTGAAATGGTAGCAATAGTAGTTGTTGTTGTTGTTGCTGTAGCTTGTATATTGTAGCTTGTAGATTGAAGCTTTTAGATTGTATATTGTAGATTGTAGCTTGAAGCTTTTGTAGCTTGTAGCACTTGTAGCTTTTGTAGTTGATGAGCAGAGCAGAGCGTTCTTCCAAATGAAGATCCTGAAGATTGTAGCTTGTTGCTGCTTTAGTTGTCCATGCTGGTTTAGAGTTGGTTCTTCAACGGAGCTAGCTACGGTGAAGCTGCTTCTTCCAAACGAAGATAAAGTGAACTGGAAACTTAGACTATTTATGGTGCCTTAGGGCTCATATGATTGGAAGATTAGTGATTAGCAAATGCGAGACTGGACGTGATAAATCATAAGCACGTGATCCTCTCGAAATTAGTTTATGAATAAACTTCACAAAATGAACAGAAAAAGAAGCTTTGTTTTGATGTGTCCGGTTTAAACAGATCATTTGTATATCTAGATTTCAGGAGGATCTTGATATCAGTAACATATGGATGTAAATCTCTTCTCACCAAGGCTATATTTGCTTGATAAAAATACAGTCAAAACTGCAGCATTGTAAATTAATATTTACTTGTAAAATGAATGTTTTGTGTTGTTTTCATGGTTAATAAATTATTCCTGTGATATAGTTGAATTTACTTCATTCTTCAGTGTCATACGAGCTTTTACAAATAACAATATGCTGATTTGCTAAATATGCTATTTTATTATTGTCATTTATTATTTGTATGCCATCGTTAAAAGGATTGTTAAGGTTATCAATGTTTTGATTGGTACTGTATCACAGTTTCCACACAAATGTGAAACAGCCGTTTTTAACACTAATGCTTAAATGTTTCATATTAGAATTATTTTTTTTATTCAAATTATACAAATGATACCAAACGCAATTAGTTTCAAAAATATATTTTTTTCAAGAAAATTTTACTTTTTTTTGTTTGTGCCTATCCATACTTGACTGTAAAAGTGGATGATTTATTTTGCTCCATGGAAAATAATAATTTAATTCATGCTTTACTGTAATTTTTGTATCACAAACCTCTGTCATATATCAGATTAAGGCAAATGTACACACTGAAGACTGAAGTTCTAAAAAATAAGCAATAAACCACAGGAATAAATTACACAATAAGAAAACAGTTATTTTAAATTGTAATACTTTTTTAAATATTATATTTTTGCTGTATTTTTGATTAAATAAATACACAAATAGTGTTCCATAATATTTTAAAACATTTTAAAAACATTTTTAATAAATATTCCAGAACTCAGACTGGTAGTGTAAATCATAAAAAACAGCATTATATTATAACATTACTACAAGGGACACATTGAAAAGATAAAAAACCATGTCAAGGCCTCTTTTGCTTACAGTCATAGTTTGAGGCTCAATACATTAGAGTCTTGGCATAACCCATAATAAATGCACAGCAGATGGTCATGTGGCTCCTAATGTTGACATCTGGCCAGACACACAGAGACCAGTTCAATTAGACACTTGAGATAAATAGACTGTAAAAAAAAAAAAAAAAACTTGGTTCACTTCCAAAATGCCTATTCTATGTTGACAAATACTGTCATGTTTAATTATTGCATGCGTATGTGGAGTTTATTTCCCCAGTGTGGCTTTAGGTTTTGTGTGGTGTTCAAAACAAATTAATCATGACCCTAATGAACTAACCTTTATAAGTGAAAAAAACACCGGCATTGTGCAGGAATTCAGAAATTAAAATGTCAACGTTAATTGTCGGCTTCTGGCAGGACGATGAACTGGAACGACAGGAAGAAGAAGTTAGAAAAGCAGTTTGAAGAAATGAATGAAATAATTTGATTAGTGTAGCGCATGTTTTCTGACTAAACAGAATTGTTTCATTTAGACTACTTTAGACACACTGGTTAAAAAACATTATGGTATTATATTTTCAAAATATAATTTAATCCCAAAATAGTTTCACATTTTGCCAAATAACACATAAAGTCCTTCAAATTTGAACTGGTCCATATAAAACTATATTAGACAATAATATATACTTTAAATAAAACAATAATAAAAATGTAACAACAATAATAAATACTAATTTGATATTAATAAAATAATATAGGCCTGATTTTCATTTTTATAATAATTAAAGAAGCACTGCAAGGTGCAGCAATAGTACAACACTTTTTGAGTAATTATTATTATTTTATTTTTATTTTTATTGAAGCAAGTAACTGAGAAGCATACAGGATTATATAAAACATTTGTAAGAGTCATACAAAACTTAGTGATGCAGAACATACATTTAATAAAAAATACTACATTACATCTGAGGCGATGCATCATTTTTTCATTATTTGAGAGGTTTTTATAACCTTCTTGTTTCTTGTAATTGAGGTCAAAGAATTATAAAATATTTTAAATCATTACAGAAAAAATTAAAGGGAGTCATGGACATTACTTTTGCCTTGTGTAAAACTTCCCAAGAAAAATGATCAACTTCAAAGTATTATTGAGTGTAGCATAGCCAGTTTTACAATACAAAAAAGAATCATGCATTCGTCAAAGTTTCATTTTGTAAAATGAATCAAAAATCAACCCTGAAACCAGTTTCCAAAAATCATCAGAAAATGTACAAGTACAAAATAGATGTAAAAGACCTACGGGCTCAGTGTTGCATAAAGAACATTGTGGTGAAATGTCATTTAAAAAATTTATTAATAAATATATTACAAGGATAGTACCTGTGTAAAATTTTGAAATGCATTTCTTTTACCTTATTTGGGAGTAAAACTTATTACTTGTTGACCAAATATCATCTATAAAAGGTAAAAAAAAATATTGTTTCCATTTCAAAATGGCTTTCGGGAAATAACTACTATCTTGACTAAGACATTTTCTGATATGAAAGTTAATAATTTTTTTTAATCTAAGATAGTGATACAACCAAGTACAGTTTTTGGAATTTGTAAGATGGATTTTCATTAAGTAAAGCAGTTCATTAGAGATGCTTTTCACAATTAAATGATAATCATTATGCAAAAGAACTATCCCTGAAGAACAAAGAATTTCCTGATTAGTATAAATCTGCTATTAGTAAATCTGAAACAAAAATAATTCTCGTAAAACCAATCTTTTTTAAATATACTTTTGTTTTTATGCAACACATGTTGGTTAGCTATATTGGCTTAGAACAGGGGTGCATAAAAAGCTTTTTCCTATAAAGGGCCAAAAACCAAACTAATTGTCACAATATATACCAAACCATATTACAATAAACTTGCCAAGGGGAATTTCCTAAAAAAAATGTTGCTGTAAATCATATTAAATAACGCAGTATCATTTTATACTGAACTTATTACTGTACAAACAAACAATTTCATTTATTACACAATGGAGTTCAAATGCTAAATACACTATTCGAGCTGCTCCTGCCTTCACCTTGATTTCCACGCAGATGATTTGTGCATTTTCCTCTCTGTCAAGTGACAGTGTTTACATTTTAAAAGTCTGATTCATTTACAACATTTGATTAAATTTTTGATTTTTTGTAGCTCAGCAATAAAACAAACCAACAAAAGGTTACGTTAAATTCAAAAAGACGATCTCTGTCAAAAGCATTCGCCCCAACCACCTACTCTCCCTCTCTTTTCAGATAGAATGGTGGGCCAAATCAAAGGTTACCATGGACTTTGACCTGCGGGCCTTACTTTGGGCATCTCTGGCCTAGAAGATAGTAATTGTTATTTTCCATCAGTTTTGTAACACTATGTATTTACAGAGGACTCTAGAAACTCATTATGCTAAGCTAAACTAAGCTAAGCTAAGCTAAACTAAAATGACCATGCCAGAACAAGAAATAGGCTGACTGGATTCAATGGTTCACGTAAACTGCTCAACTCTAGGAGCCTTGTAAGATGAGCCTTTTTCAAAAAAAGGTGGAGTGTTCCTTTAAATATGGTTTAATGTCTTTGATTAAGTGTATAAAATGAGGACAAATATTCATTCATTCATTTACTTTTCGGCTTAGTGCCTTTATTAATCCGAGGATGCCACAGCGGAATGAACCGCCAACTTATCCAGCAAGTCTTTTTTACGCAGCGGATGCCCTGCCAGCCACAACCCATCTCTGGGAAACATCCACACACACTTTCACACACACACACACTCATACACTACGGACAATTTAGCAATTTACCTGTACTGCATGTCTTTAGACTGTGGGGGAAACCGGAGCACCCGGAGGCAACCCACGCAAACGCAGGGAGAACATGCAAACTCCACACAGAAACGCCAACTGACCCGAGGCTCGAACCAGCGACCTTCTTGCAGTGAGGCGACAGCACTACCTACTGCGCCATGCTTCGCCCCGAAGACTAATATATTGCATGTTAATGTTTAAATTCTCGTAATAATAATAATACTAATACAATAAAATCTTAATAACTTACAAAAAGTATTAAAATATATATTATGAATGTAGCCATTAGTTTTAATTCCATTTGATTTATGTTCTTATAGATTTATAAATGATAACACACAGTATACATAACAAACACATGCAATAATTTAATGACATTCCTAATTCAAATCTGAATGATAAATAGCTCTTGCGACATCTACATAACTGAACACTGAGATGTCATGCAAACAAACTGTATATGAGTAGAAACAAACTGTATATGAGTTGCATAATGAGCTACAGCCACTGGAAACTGTATACCTAGAAAAGCCTGGAAATGATTCACCCTGCAGCAGAAAAGCAAGCATGTTCGTTGTCTACTTGACCAGACGATGGCAGCATTGTGCTACAACCGCGGTGGATTATATGTATGTGGGCAACAAACACTGCCGGTGGGGGAAATACAGATAGACTTAACCATTTGTACAGTATAACACATAGAATTTAAACAATAAAAGCCGTATATCTCACAACCTCTTAATGTTTTTTAACAAAATAATTTTCTTGAAATTATAAACATTAAGATTAAATGTTGAGGGAAAAATATCAGTGACATCTATAAGAACAAAAAAAAAAAAAAAACTTTGGAAGTCAATGAGTTATTTCCCCCACAATTCTTTAGAAATATTAAACATAAGTAAATAAATTTAAAGAGGTTTGGAACTATGACAGAATTTTTATTTTTGGCAGGAAGTTGAATTTAACAGTCACTTTTTACACATCTCCGTTCAAAGTTCCTTAAAGCTACACTCTGTGACAGACAGACTGCCTTTTGCTCAGCCTTTCTTTGTGGCACATTGTATTAAGTTGTCTAGGCAGCATCTGAAGGTCTAATGAAGGTGCCATAATGACTTTCTGCAACCAAAAGCATGAACTCAAAGCAAGTTGAAAGGGCATCAGCTGACACTGATGTCTCTCTCAAAATGAAAGGCCATTGGCTGCCTGACATGAACCTGCTTTCAGCTCACAAAGACGTGAGAACAATCAGCTTAAGATTTAATAAAGTTTGAAACCCTACTGATGCTTTCATATAAGAAATGCCTCTTAGGAATGAGGCAAAAGGAAAGCCTCAGCTGGGTGTGCAGAACCCCTGCTTTCACTGAAGTAATTCTCTCACCCAGCCTCGTTTTGTAAGGGATTATATAATTACAAGGGTTTTCCCCAAATTTTCGTCGTGCTAGTTTCATTGACCTTCATGCTTATAAGTGGTACTGCACAGCAAACACACTTTAAAAACGACACCCTATACCAAACATGTAAAACATATTATCATGGAGACAAGTTTAGCATAATTTTATCAATTTTACTAAATACACTTAAAAAATAAATAAATAAATAAATTCAATGAAAGTAAAAAATAAAATATTCACACTCTCACCAGCCGCGTTATAGTGTTTTAACGACCCATCACCAGTCAGCCATTTTGGAAAGCAGAATGTAAACAATGCCACTGAAACATTCAAAAATAAATCGTTTGCTAATTGCTGCTAAAAGTGATCAATTATTATGATTGTTGTCCTGTACTAAGAGGTCCCTGCTGAAAAATCCAGCTTAAACCAGCCTAGGATGGTTGGCTGGTTTTAGCTGGTCCACCAGCCTGGTTTTAGAGGGGTTTTGGCCACTTCCAGCTGGTTTCCAGCCATTTCCAGCCTGGTTTTAGCAGGACGGGCTTGGAGATGACCAGCCAAAATCAGCTATGTCCAGCTTAAACCAGGATGGTCAAGCTGGTTTTAGCTGGTTGACCAGGCTGGTTTTAGAGGGGTTTTGGCCATTTCCAGGCTGGTTTCCAGCCATTTCCAGCCTGGTCTTAGCTGGTCAGGCTGGAAAATTACCAGCCAAATCCAGCTAAAACCAGCTTGACCAGCCTGGTTTAAGCTGGATATAGCTGGTTTTGGCTGGACTCCCAGCTTGGCTAGGCTGGTCAAGCTGGTTTTAGCTGGTCATCTCCCAGCCTGACCAGCTAAGACTAGGCTGGAAATGGCTGGAAACCAGCCTGGAAATGGCCAAAACCCCTCTAAAACCAGCCTGGTCGACCAGCTAAAACCAGCCAACCAGCCTAGGCTGGTTTAAGCTGAATTTTTAGCAGGGGTCTTAGGTGGTCAGGCTGGGAGATGACCAGCTAAAACCAGATTGACCAGCCTAGCTGGAAGCCAGCCTGGAAATAGCCAAAACCCCTCTAAAACCAGGCTGGTTGACCAGCTCAAAATTTTTTTTAGCAGGGCTGGAATCAAACTTAAAATTCCATGGTATTGCAGAAATTCCATGATCCCTGGCAACTTTGTGTTAATTTACTCACCCACAGAACATCCAAGACCTATAGGTGACGCT